GCCCGCCGCCGCACGGCGCGGCAGCGCGCTCGGCGGTCCACCCGATACCAGCCAGCGATACATACGCACCATCCGCGCCCGCACCCTCCCCGCAACTCCCCCGCCGCCGCGCCCGTATTCCCCCCTGCCGCGCCGAAGCATCCGCCTCGGTTCATGAATGGGCGCCTGCCATTCGCTCGCCGACTCGGCGCGAGCCGCAGCATGGCGGGGCGGCCGCGCGCGCGCGGTCCACGCCGCCTTGTGGGTCAGACGTCGTGCTGCGCAACTGCCGAGATCGGCCATGTCGAGCTCCACGTCCTCGACGGCGTCGGGCGCGCCTTGTGCCGCGGGGCCGCGCGGGGCCCCACGCGAAGCCCCCCGCATGTCGACATGCCCAGCTTGCTGATTGATCGGCGACCTGGCTCCGCCGCGACATGCGCGCCGCGTCGGCTGCCACCCATCGCTGTGCATGGGCCGTTGCACCCGCGGCAACGGCTCCAGCGACAGCCCCGCGTACCTGTGGCAGCCGCCGTCGCTGCGGCAGCCGCCGCTGATGCTGCCGCCGATGGGGCGGGGGCGATGGGGCGGCCGCAGATGATGGATGCGCCATGGCGGCAGCGGCCGCGGCGCACTGGAGCGCGCGGCCGACGCGTACGCGCGCCGCCGCACATGTTGGATCGGCCGATGGCCCCCGCAATGAGTCGCCCCCAAGGCTGCCGCCCGCGCCACTCATGGAGACGCCGCCCCACGTAAGATTGATGCGCCACTGGCGTGGGCTCTGAGCCACGAGGCCAGGGTGCCTGTCGGACATGCGCCCGTCGCGCGATCGCTCGGCGGGGCGCGAAATGGTAATGGCAGACCCACGCGGTCGGCGTCGGACTGCATGCATCTTCCCGTCTCCAACGTGGCCACGTCCTTCTGCCCATCGTCGTTGCTGTAGCGCAGCGACGCTCCTGGAGCCACCCCGCGACGAGCGCGTCGAGGCCATGCGCGCGGTATGGCGTCACCTGTACCGCGGCCAGGGCCGCTCCGTCCTGGGCGGAACTGGTGGCCTGCCCCGCCTGGATGTGCCCAATGATCTGCCACTTCAGAGAAAAACCATCGGGGGAGGGGGAAGGGGGCAGGGCGGCTCGGGCAATGTTTGGCAACGAAGGCGCAGGGGGGGGGGGGCACCCGACGCGCGGCGTCGGTGCAACAATCTCTCCCCCCCCCCTGCCCCCTCCCCCCCACCCACTAATTGGGCGCGCCGTAGACGGGCGCATGGCCCCGCACGCGCGCGACTGGCGAAACCGCAAACCGCGGCGCTCGACGCACGAGGCACGCAAAATCGGCGCCGAGGGCCTTGCTGTCCAAACAGAACCAAGGGCTAAGAGGAACAACACATTGGATATACATACCCCAGCCACAGAAAGTGATGATAACCTGGTTGGCGCGGGGGTCGCCATCGGCAGCCTGCATCGGCGCCCGAGGGCATGTGCGCCCATGTGCGCATGCTGCAGACTTCGTTTTGTTTTGGCCCGGCGCGACGACCATGAACGAATGCTTGAAACGCACAAATATCGATATGCCGCGGGCGGATTGGACGCGGGGCGGAGGAAAGCCAAGAACGGGTCTCAAGGCAGATCGCGGGTCAGACCGCGGCGAGCCAGGAGTGGTTCAATGGGGAAAACCGCGGGCGGGCGGCAAGCGGGCCGCAACTGGAGCACAGGCGAATCGCGGGCGGGCATCGGCCGCGCCGCCGAAGGGCGGCGGGCGGATCGCAAGCGAGTCGCGGGCGTTGTCGCGAAGGGGCCGAGGCTGAGTCGCGGGCGGGGCGACGACGAAGGCTGCATCAACTCAGCACACAGCATCGGCATGAATCCCAACAACCGCGCGCCCTGGGGCACTGGTGAAACCATGCGGCCCCGCTGATCGGACGTGGACATACCTTCGACGCGGGCCGACGAATGTACAATAAACAACTGCAATAACTTTCACTGCGACGGGTGGGGAGCGAGGCGCGCGAAGGCGGGTCGAGCGACGGGAAGCGGCGCGCGCGCCACATGCAGCCTACAATTCACATGGCCAGGGCGGGCCCAAACCCTTGACGAAAACATGCGTGGGCGCGCGCGGGGAAAGCCTTCGCACCAGGAACATCGCCACTGGGCGGCCGCCTCGCGCGCGAGCCGCCGCGCGAGGCGAGACGTCGGGCTGCAACGGGGTGGCGCTGCGCAGGCGCGGTCGTGCGAAGCACCTCGCCGCGCGCACGCGCCTGCATGCACATGCGCAGAAATAACACCACGATACGTAACCCTGTATACGTTGACGTGCGATGGGGGGGGGGGGATGAAGGGAGACGACGCATGCGAACGCGGCGCGCGCAGTAGCGCCCAACTTTGCGTCGAGATACCGCGCCGAGTGCCGCGCGACGCGCGACGTCCGTCGGCGAAAGGCCCGATGCGCCGCGCGCGCCGACCGACGACGCGCACGCGCGCCCAATGCAACGTTACTATACAAGGTGTTGACGTGACGGCAACGACTTTAGAATTGTACGTTTACACATGAATTAACAGCATGGCGCGGCGAATATAAGCAAAGCGCGTGCAAAGAAACGATATTTCTATAACGCGGCATGCCGACCACTGCGCCGCCCCAAAGTGCAAGGCATCTTAGGGGGGTGCGGGGCAATTTTAGATAGGCTCCACAACCTCCTAGGATGTCTTGCAAGGAATGCATTGCCATAGCATGCGTTTGAAATGACTATCGGGGGCGACGTCGGGAATAGCGCCCGCGCAATTGTCCCGCGAACCAGTTCTCGGGCCATAAGTTGCGCGGGGATGTCCCATGCGAAACCATTTCGGATAATGACTTGCAGCCCCGCCCGCGTATATGCGCCGCTAATATTTTGCAAGTTGCGCGCGCAGGTAAGCGAAGCAATCTGCCTGGCGCGAAAAATATGATGGAATATAGCGCGCGGTGCAACGGCAACGCCGAAAACTAACAACCCAAATGCACGCCGTGAGTGACAGAGTGCGAGGCGGGGCGCTGTCATAAACGCAACGCGCCCTCCATCCGTGCACGCGTCGGTAGATGCAATAAGAATGAGAACAATTGGAGTGGAGGGGGAGAGGCGGACGAGGCGGAGGAAGAGGATGAGGGGAAGAGGGACGGAGGAGGGAGCGAGGCAGGGAGGACGGGGGAGGGAGGAGGGAGGAGGGATGAGGGAGGGAGGAGGGATGGGGGGAGGGATCGAGTGACGGGGGGAGGGAGCGCGGGAGGAAGGGAGGATGGAGGTAGCGAGGGGGCGAGGATGGAGGGAGGGAGAGAGCGAGGGCGGGAGGATTGGATGGTGGAAGGCGCGACGGAAGCCGAGGCGGATGGTGGACGGTCGAGGTGGGGGAGGGAGCTAGGGAGGGAGCAAGAATGAAGGGAGGGAGGAGGGCGCGTGGGAGGGACGAAGGGAGCGAGGGAGGCAGGTGGATGATGGATGGTGGGGGAGTCGATGGTGGGACGAGCTACCCCAGAGGGCGCCTGGGGCAAGCATCTGCAGCACACCCCGCTGGCCACGTTCAGAGCCACGCTCGCCACGACGCTGTGGTCCGTGCCGATCTTCGTGCCGTCGGGCCCGCTGAGGGAGATGTGGGTTGACCCCTGGCGGGCGCGGCTCGGTCGATGGGGCCGATGCGAGGGGGCGGGCCTGCTACCTCGAGCGCTGCTGACCCGCGCAATCTGCTGACGGCACTGCTGCTTCCCGCTCCTGCCCCTCGTCCCTCCCCTTCCTCTAGCTGCTTCTCCTCCTCCTACCCGCCATTCCTCATTATCTCCTTTTCTGTTCCTCATTCCTCCTTCGCATCCTGCTGCGGCAGACCGCGAGGGAAAGCAGGGGCGGGGTCGAATAACAGAGGTCTGGACGAGGCAGGGGGCGGGGCGGTGCACGATGAACGATAAGCAGGGGTGATATGCGGCATAAAGCTGCGTCCTCGAACTCCGATCTCGATGCCTCCACGTACCTGCACAGCATGCTCTCCGTGTGGCGCTGGTTCTTCGGGTTGTAGTAGGAGGCGCGCACGGACGCGGGCAAGCTGGCATCGCCCGTCCTGAGGACCCCGTCGACGCCGCGGCACGGGCACCCCTCGAGGATCACGTTCTCGAGCTGCTTGGTGACCGCGGTCAGCACCTGAACGACGTCGTCGTCGTCGTCGTCGCCGCCGTCGCCGTCGCCGTCGCCGTCGTCGTCGTCGTCGTCGTCGTCGTCGTCGTCGTCGTCGTCGTCGTCGTCGTCGTGTCGTCGTCGTCGCCGGCGGCGGCGGCGGCGGCGTCGTTGGCGTCGTCGTCGTCGTCGTCGTGGTCGTCGTCGTCGCCGTCGCCGTCGCCGTCGTCGTCGTCCTCGGCGGCGGGCTGAATCAACACCGAAACATATGAAAGCAAGAGCTGCAAAAAGCGAAGGCGCCTGGCTGAACACCTTCTCCAGGAGATCACTGTGCTCCTGCACGGCGAAGTTGTGGAGCGAGATGAGGAAGGTCCTGACGTCCATCCCGTCCATGTCGACCAGCCTGTTCATCTGCGTGGACACGCACCTGCAGTAGGGAACCTCGCCACGGTCGAAGATGGCTCGGAGGTGCGCCACGTACACGATGCCCTGGCGGACCTCGATGACAGCAGGGCACACCCCGACGTGGAAGTCGGCCACCTGGAGACGTTGATTTCACATTGATGCCCGCCCACCCCCATGCCCGACAACATCCGAACTGCTAGCACTGCAAACGCCGCCGATATAACAATTATTCCAGCTCCCCGCGCCCTGACGCCTCAGAAACACTGCCAGTGCCCCATCTGCCACCCGCTATGCCCGATGTCCCCACCCACCCTCACCGCGCCCCTCCGCCCACAGTCGACCTAGCTCGAGGCCTTAGGGCCCCGCCTCAATCACCCCTCGACCCCGCGGCGCCGACGGCCCGCGCCAAATGTAACAGCGGTGGTCGCTGCGACCCTGCGCCGAGCCGCGCGCGGGCCCGATTTGCCCCCCCCCCCCCCCGAACCACCTTGAACGACCTATGATCCAGTCGAATGGGTATCTGCATGTCAACTGGCAGCTTGGCGATGAGGCCAATGAAGACCTTCTCGCACGCATCCTTGGAGTCAGACTTCAGAAGGCCGTGACGGGTGTGGGTGGCCGCGAAACTGCGGAGCGTCAGCAAGACGGTAAACCTCAAACTAATGGAAGGAAACATCAGGCACCGCTCTGCGTCAGTATCATCATCGGGCAGGCGGCCATATGGCACAGAAGGCCTCAGGCACAAGCCACTGCCCCCGAACCTCTGCGACGTCTGCTCCCAGCGCTGGCGGCGTTTGTGAAACCACGCGCTCGCGTTAGCATGGCTGTTCTGCAGGCCGAGGGCCACGGCGATCTGCAGGAAGTTGAAGTACAGCCTCCCCGAAAACCGCTCGCTCTCAAAAGCAGCACCCTCGAAGACAATGCCAGTGTCGCCAGGCGAAGCTGGTGAGATCTGGAACTTCCCCATCCTGTGCCGCGACGCGATGTCCCTGATCTTGATGGACTCGCCTGTCGCCGAAAATGTTATTGACATCGTGTGCTCCCTGTCTGCATGGTCTCCGTAAGCTGCAGCCGTCATCAGGTTCTGGGCGATATGCCCTGGCGGCTGGTCGTTCACGTCCGCGGGCTGGACCTCGCACAAGCACCGCGGGCCGTCGGGATCCATTTCCAAGGTCCACTCCTCAGGCGGCAAAGGAGACAAAGAGAAGACCCCGCCCCCCCCCTACCCTACCGAGGGCCAGAAACTGACGACCACGGAAACGCCTGAAATAAAAAGGAATGTAAATCTCGACCTAACTACTTACATGATACAATTTTGCACGGTGGCTCTTTGTCGGCCGAGAGCACTGCCGACTGGAGAGTCAGGATGTTCACCAAGATCTGGGCCACCGTGCCATCGGGCCGCCCGTCCGAAACTATACGGTAATGCCTCGTCGAGGCCTGTAACTTAGACATACATGCGATCGGTCGAGCCCCCTTTGCTCGAGCCGAGGCTGCCGCTCGGGCGACGCGTCTCTGGGCATGCACGCGAGCCCCAGGTCGGACCGAAAAGGGCGCCCTGCGAACGAGGGCGACCGCGGCGCCCCCAGCACAGCTCAAGGCGATTGCAGCTCGATCGGCGTTCCTGGCGAGGCTGCGGGCGCACCCCGCGCTACGGTCGGAGAGAGCGACGAATCTCGAAAAGAGGCCTGAGGGATCAAGCATGAGAGGCCCAGCAGTCGATGGCGGCGAGGGTGGGCGGGCATGCGTCGCAGGAGGTTGTGACGCCAGGGGGGGGGGGGGGGTCAGAGGAGGCACAGCCGCAGACACATGCGAGGACACGGAGCGCCTACACCAGGCACTGGGGCGCCAGACCCCAGAGTCCCTAAGGGCACGTCGCGCGCCCGAATCCCGACCCGATGGCCAAGGAAACCAGACTGAGAAGCCACGGGGCACCACCCATCCACAACGCGACGAAGTGTCAAACGCAATCAAGCCACGTGGGGAACAAACTCCTGGCGCGCATGACGAGGCCAAGCATATGCGGCACGCCCCGACATCGATGCTGCGTGTCAATGCTACGGCACTCAATGCCAGACAAATTTATTACACTATAGAAAAAAGTATGCCAGTCTGGTCGGTCCGCTGATGCTCGGCCTCCAAGTGCGCATGGTATATTCGGGGGGCGGCCGCCCGAAGAGCAAGCTATCAATGTGCACCCCCACCCCCTGCCCCTGGCTCCCCCCTCATCTTTCACAACCCTGCGCGAGGGCCCGAGCCGCCCTCGATCGAAGGTCCACGCGAACAGCGGCACGCCTTCAGTCAGAATCTGAATAGGGCGCCACCCTCTGGAGGGTGGCCTCCAGCTTGCGCACCTTGGCCTCCAAGGAGCACACGCGACTGCACAAGTCCGCGATGAAGGGCGCCTCCCATGACACCCTTCTGGCCGTGCTGCATCCCAAATCATCTGTCATTTCCTCGACCGCTCCCCCTCTCCCCCTCGAAGTCCCGCTCCCGACCGCTGCCCTCATCCTCCCCCCCCATCGGTCGGCCCAGTCTCCCCGCGTGCGCGCAGCCAGTCTATCCTCGACCCCGCCGAGCGCATGCGCCCTCCCCCAGCCAGCCCCGATCCGACTAACATGCGCATTACGGCGCCGTTGCCCACCCTGATCCCATCCGCCCCTCCGCCGCGATCCTGAACCACCCCCCCATTCCCCCAATCCTCATGCACATCGCAGCTCACGCCGCGTCCCCACGCTGCCGACCCCTGTCTGCATACTCTGCCCGCCCCCCCTTCCCCTCCTGGATGTTGGGGGCCCCAGTAGCAGATGATGATGCTGTTGGTGCTGCCGTCGACGATGGTGGCGCCGCTTCTGCTTCTTCAGGTTCCCGAACGTCCAGACAGGAGCTCGAGCTGCGATCTGACTGGGCCACAGGCGGCGACCGCGATCTGGAACCCTCGCGCGCCATCGGCGCGCGCGAGTGCACAGAACTGAAATGGGGCGGAATAAGGGCGGGGGGGGGGCGCCGCGCCAGCTCGACCCGTCGGGCGGCGGGATGGACACGTGATGGGGGGGGGGCCCTGGCAACCCCTGGCCGATGGGCACCGACTGATCGCGCATATAGCTTGTTGTTCCTCCAAGAGTGCACCTGGCCGCACTCTAGGTCCCTGGGCGCGTGCACGGCGCAGACTAGGCGAGGTTGGCCGAAAGCAGCGGGGGCCGTGCACGACAACTGTGCGGGGTGTGATCACATTTCGGAGGCGATCGGGGCATCAGCGCGAAAGCCGATCGGGGGAGAGACGGGGAGGGCGAGGGTGCGGAGGGGAACTGTAAGGAGATGCTGGCGGTGCGAGGCCAAGATGGGCAGAGGACTGGCGGAGGGGAACGGCGCGACTCCGAGGAGAGCTGAAGGAAGGCAGAGGGCGTGAGTTGGAGGTGAGAGGGGTTGGGCAAGATGGAGTGGAAATGAGATGGGAGCGAGACGAAAGAGGGAGCGAGGTTAATGAGGGAGCGCGAGGCCGATGGCTGACAAAAGGACGCGAGAGGGGGAGCATCCAGAGAGTGGGAGGGGTGCGACTTGGAGGTGACGCGGGGTACGAGGGGGTTGGATGAGAGAAGAGTTGAGCCCTGAAGGAAGGGGCTGGAAGACGAAGACCCCGATCGGGCGGCTGAACCCAGACAAACGGCGCCGTCCAGCAGCACCCATCTCCCCCTTACCCACCCACTCCCTCCACCGTCCCACCCGTATGCAAACTCTAATGACAATAACATCCGCTGACGCTTCCTGCATGCGCGACCCCCTCATCGTCGCCCTCGCCCTCGCCCATGAATTCAAATGATATGTGTGGGGGGTCCAAGTCAGTACGGCACCCAAGCCACGGCCATTATCCCAACCTCGCGGGGGCATATCCTCACGGTGGCGGGCTCAACCTCGAAGCCCGAAACTCAAACGAGGCCAGCACGCGTGGGTGCCAGGGCCCATGGACCAACGCGGCTGAGCGCCGCCACCGAGCCCCTCCCCCTTAAAAGCTAAGACGGCCGATCACCCCTGCGTGATTGGCGCAGCGAGCGGCTCGGCAACGCGCCTCACCCGCCTGCGCTTGGCCGCCTCGTACATGGCGGAATCGACGACGACCTCGGACTGCAGCGCCTGCTTCTTCGAGTCCGCCACGAACGTGATGGCCTTCTGCTTCGCCTCCCCGAGCTTGCCCTGGGCCTTCTTGCCGAACAACTGGCACACCTTCACGCGGTTGTTCATCACCAAGATGTACGCGCTGCCGTCGTTCCAGTTGTCCTGAATCTCCTTGCCTGCGGGGGAGGGGGGCGGCACGGCTAGGATGGGGGGGGGGCGCCACTCCCCGCCGCGATCGCCGACCTTGCCGAAATTCCCTCTCGGAACATGTTCCTCGCCCTCCTCCCCTTCATCATCATCCGCCTCACCCTTCGTCGTCCAGGTCGTCTGCCTCGTCGGCTCTACCCGCGCACCTGTCATCGCCTCCACATCCGCCCACGCCCAGCCCTCCACCTCCAATGGGGCAGAAACTATGACCACCCGACCCCTGCATTGATAATTAACCAGCGTTTCGAACTGCATCCAGCGGCGGTCGCGATCACGCCGCAGGAGGCTCAAAGAAAACCCAGAAAAACGATACATAAAACTTGAATTTAAACAACATGTAACCTTACCATGTAATTCCACACATTCCTAAACATAACCCTTGGATTCCTAATCCCCCTCGCCCCCCCATCACGAACAGCATTTCCTCATCATCATGCTCCTCGTTCTCTGCCACGCCTAAGCCAAACCACGCGGTACCCATCACCATGCCATGAGCCTCTCCTCATCCTCGCCCTCCCCTCTCGCCTTCGGGCCAACGCTCGGTCAGCTCGAAATCCTTGCCAATGATGTGGTTCTTCACCGTGTCCTCTGGACGGCGCCGAGAGCGGGGGCGGCGGGCGGGCGAAGGGGCAGGGGGGCGTGCTGAGGGAAGGAGCGGAAAGCGATCAGGGAAGGAATCGGAAAAGAAAGGGGAAGCGAACGCCCCAATCCCATCGCATCCTTGAGACTCCGCCTACCTCCTCCCGAGTGACCCCTCTCTCATCCTCCTACCCGCCCCTCCCGACCTCACGTGCCATCCCTCCCCTTGCCCTCAAACGACGTTTCGGCATCGCGCGCTGCCCCCGTCGCGTCCTTCGCGTCTGGGTCCCGCTCGCCGTCCGAGCCCGCGCTGGCCAGCATCACCTCGAAGCAGCAGTGCGGGGGCGCGAAGACGAGGGCGCCGTTGCGCCAGCAGGCGACGAAGAAGCCCGCCGCTTTGTTGAGGGTCCCCCTGTCAAGAATCTGAGCCCGCAAGAACCTGGCGAACGTGTCTATGACCAGCATGTCCCCCTGGACGGGGAAGTTGTGGGGCAGACCTGGCAGGCGAGAAGGCGGAGGAGCGAGAGGGATGGTGGAAAGCAATAGGGGGAGCGCTGGCCCATGACACGTCGGAGTGGGAGGAAATCAAGCAGGAGGGAGCATGGGGGATGATTGAAGAGAAGGGAATCTCATAACTCAGAGGATGAGGGATGAGGGGGATCACTAGGGGAACATCGAGGTGGGATCAGTGCGGGAGCGAGGAGGGAGATAAGAATTGGAAGTGGGGGCACCCGTCGGGATGGGACCTCGTCGTCGCCGTCGCCGTCGTCGTCGCCGTCCTAGTCCTCGCCGTCGTCGTCGTCGTCGTCGTCGTCCTCGTCGACCTCGTCGTCCTCGTCGTCTCCCTCGTCGTCATCCTCGTCGCCCTCGTCCTCGTCGTCGTCGTCGTCGTCGTCGCTCCACCTGCTTCCCTCGCCCCTCATCCCACCCGCCGCTCCTCCGACCTCAAACCACCTACTCGGCTTCCCTCATTCCCCCACTTCCACCTTACCCCCCTTCCCTCCGTACGAAGGCAAATGCGACCAGAGAGGTAGTCCATGACCGCCCGCACGCGCTCGGCCTTCTGGCAGATCCACGTGATGGCCTCGGGCGGGACCGCGTGCGTCGAGACCTTCGCCACGAGCGCGAAGAGCCACGGCGCTGGCACGTCTCCGAGCGTCTTCACTTTCGAGTCGAAAGTCGGGCACGTGCTCAAAGCGTGCACCACATCTGCTGCGTTGCGCGATTTTTTATGATGAGTGGCCGAGTCCTCCATGTCCTTGGCCCCCCTGCAGCTCATCA